GTGTGTGTGTGTCTGTGTGTGTGTGTGTGTGTTACACACCTGTGATGAAGAGCGTGTGCGGTATATCCGCCTCAGTGAGCATCCGCTGAATGTGGCCATTATAGAAAGCCATCGCTTGGCCCCGCCCACTCTGAGGATTGACCAATACCATCACGCCACACGGTCGGCGGACCTCAGAGAACAACACACCTGACAGAGAGAGAGAGAGAATGACATTTACATACACAGAAAAAAATGACTTAAAGCTGCCGTCCGTAAGTTTTGCCTCTTTGTCGCCCTCTCTGTTTGAAACCTGCGATTGCAGTTATTTGCGGAATTATCTTCTTTATAATAAGAAGTTTCACCCGAAAATGTCATCTGAACAAGTAAGTAACATGTCTGCCAGTTTTGTTCTGATCAACTGAAAAAAAAAGGAAAAGAAATCTATATTGTGAATATAGATTTCACAATAAATCGCGCTACTAATGCTGATTAAATCTAAGGATAGCAAAGCTACTTCAGATCACGTCAAACCGTGCAGATTATTATTATTGTTATACTTTGTTCTCAAATTGTTAATGTTAACAACATCAACATTATGTGACCGTGTATTTAGTGTGTATTAGCGTTATATGTAGATTTCAAATTCTGTACAGTCTCTAATTGTCATACCATTCGAATGCCATCGAAAGAAATTGTTCGTTTAACCTCAAAAATAATTTAATGTTTCTTAGAACTTGTTTTCTTTGGAATACAAATATTTTATAAGTACAGTGTAATCCCACATATCTGTGATCACATGCACATTTAAAACTGGAAGATAATCTAATTTCAGTCACCGGGACTCCTTCTTTATATATACAGACGTGACGTAATGACGCGAAGTCAAACGACCCGATCCACTCAAATGATTACAAGCTTACCGTTGTGAATCAGGCTAAGATAAGGAGATAATTTTTAACCAAAAAAAGTTACGGAATGCAGCTTTAAATGATCGTTCTGTGTTTGAGTGCAGGAATAAAATAATAAATAATCAGTTATAAAATAAAATAATAACATTCAACCAAATCAAATATAAAATAAAATTATAAAATAAATACAAATAATAAAAATATAAATTATACAATTAAAATAAAATAATAACGATATGAATTACAAAATAAATAAATAAAATAAAATGTTCAGTGTTTTAGTGTGTAGTTAAAATAATAAGATAATCAATTATAAAATTAAAAAATAATTAAAATAAAACAGAATATAATTAAAATAAAACAAAAAAATGTCCATACCAAAAATAAAATAAATAATATAAATAAAAATCAATAAAAAAGAAAAATGAATTATAAAACAAAATAATAAAATTCTTGAACTTACAAGGTGAATAAAATAAATTAAAATCTAAAACAATACAATTAAATATAATAATAAAATTTAAATATAATACAGTAAAACTATAGCAAACATGTTGTGCTCTCGTTGCTGTAAATGTGGTGCCAAACGTGAGGTGTGACGTGTGAGGTGGTTATGTTAATGAAAACATTATGAAATATTAGTGAGCTGTGTACAGAATTATTAAACATCTAAAAGTGGAGTGACAAACATGTTCAACTGCACTTAAACTGCTTTGTTCCTCATATTCCACATATTTTTGTCGTCACATTGAGTTCTGGAGGAAAACATAATAATAAAGTATCAAATGACACATTTCACTGGAAAAGTCATTTAATATGTGCATAATTCAGTTTATACCATATAATGTTGCATTTCCGAATGAAGTTACTGAAAAACAGCGATTGCTGCTGACAAGATCATTTTTGCTCATATTTATTTATTACTTATTTGTTATCTTTTAAATTATTACATTTTATTTCAAATGCATTTGTATAAAATTAGAATACAATTTAATAAAAAGGGTATTTTTTTTTAATTATTTGAAATATGCTTACATCTATTTTTTATTATTTTATATATTTTTTATTGTTTTATACTAATACAATAAATCATTATAGTGATTTTTCAGTCAGATTGTCCCGCTGAACTAATGTTCTCTTTTTGGTTTGGTTGTTTTGACACCTGTGGGGCAGGAGATTTGAATCGAGTGTTGAAAACAGGATTTTAATTCTCTTTAAAAGGTTTTATGTTTGACGAATAAAAGAGCGCGTGGCCTCGGGCGGTAGCACAGTGCTAACAGCTAGCAGCGCTAATGCTAAAAACTCTCAAACGACACACAAACAGAAGCGGCTTTGTCTTGATTCTGCGTGTTACAGGAGCTCGGGGCTTCTCGTCCAGTTGAGCGGGACGGACTGGTTTCCGGGGAGCGGTTTACTCGCTGATGACAGGTGAGGCGTTCAGAGCCCTGCAGGTGATCCAGCACTCAACAGACACACATACCTTACCTTCACAGAGAAACACATGAACTCACACAGGTCTCGGTGTCTCAAACAGGTCCTGGACCTTTACTCATGGCACAGTTTCACTACAACACAAATGATTCATGAGCAGCTTTGGTTTATTTATTCATACTAGCACTGCTCCTGTAACTCATCCAAAATGACAATAACACAATAAAATAATATATATATATTTTTTTATTTAATTCAATTATATATATATATAAATTTGTAAAAATAAACAATTAAATAATTACTCAATTAATCTAATAAATACATAAAAAGTTTAATAACAAACTAATTTAAAAATAAAAATAAATAAATAAATTTTGAAATAAAACAAATTAATGTAATTGTCAATAATACATGTGATCATCTAAAAAAAGCAAATAAATAATAAAAAAAATAAATCAATAAAATAAACACATTAAAAAACTGAATAATAAAATAATTAAAATAAATAAAAATACATAAATTTAGAAGTAAAATATTATATTGTATATTGTGGTTGTCAATAATACATTTAATCTAAAAAGAGCAATGAAATCAGTTTTATCTGTTAGGGTGATTTTTCTTTTTAATGGGTTTTAATCACTCTGCGTCATATTTCTGTGGTAAAATCACTATAATGTCATAAGTAAAAAATAATAATAATTAAATAAATAAACACATCTAAACATTTTAAATACAATAAAATATAATTTAAAAATTTAAAAAATATATTATATTGTATGTATTTTTCTCCTGTAACTCATTCATCCAAAAAATAACACAATAAAATAATATATATATTTTTTTTTATTTAATTCAATTATATATATATATAAATTTGTAAAAATAAACAATTAAATAATTACTCAATTAATCTAATAAATACATAAAAAGTTTAATAACAAACTAATTTAAAAATAAAAATAAATAAATAAATTTTGAAATAAAACAAATTAATGTAATTGTCAATAATACATGTGATCATCTAAAAAAAGCAAATAAATAATAAAAAAAATAAATCAATAAAATAAACACATTAAAAAACTGAATAATAAAATAATTAAAATAAATAAAAATACATAAATTTAGAAGTAAAATATTATATTGTATATTGTGGTTGTCAATAATACATTTAATCTAAAAAGAGCAATGAAATCAGTTTTATCTGTTAGGGTGATTTTTCTTTTTAATGGGTTTTAATCACTGCGTCATATTTCTGTGGTAAAATCACTATAATGTCATTCAATAATACATTTAATCTAAAAAGAGCAATGAAATCAGTTTTATGTGTTAGGGTGATTTTTCTTTTTAATGGGTTTTAATCACTCTGCGTCATATTTCTGTGGTAAAATCACTATAATGTCATAAGTAAAAAATAATAATAATTAAATAAATAAACACATCTAAACATTTTAAATACAATAAAATATAATTTAAAAATTTAAAAAATATATTATATTGTATGTATTTTTTATATATAATATAAATACATTTACAAAATCTTTTAAAAATATAAAAATTGTTTAAAAATACATGTAAATATTTTTAAACACAATAAAATTAAATAATTTATAAAAATAAGAAATAAAATAAAATATTATTGTATATTGTAATTCGCAATAGTAATACATTTAACCATCTATAAAAAATAATACAACAATTTTATAAAGACAATAAGTACCTTCTGTTACACTGATTTAAGCTTTTTTTAAACGCTCTGCATCATTTAACGGTGGTAAAATCACTATAATGCTTGACCTACTGCATTAGTAAATGATCTCTGCCACCCCTTCTGGACTGAAACCGTTTCACCTCCAGCAGCGGGAGGTTGTGTAACCTGAGATTCACCCGTAACCCAGAATGGTCTGGGGCCGAGGGCTGTAATGAGCGCCTGCGGGTGCCATGTCGGGCCGCATCTATGCCAGCGCTCAGAAACCAGCAAAACAACAGCCGCTGCGCTTTCACAGTGAGACTGATACACAGCGCTTCCCTTCATGAACAACACATGAAACCAAAGCCTGGCCGATAAAACGGTATCGATATTTATCGACGGTACACCTTCTTCGATAACGATATAAAAAAATTTCAATATAGTGCAGGATACACAGCACACACAAACACGAACACATGCTGAATTGAGTGCTGTGCCTGCCTGTGATGAGGAGATTGTGAATAAAAAAAATTATATTAGTCGAATTTAAAATAAACATTTGCATTTGAATGTTAGGAGTGGGTCAGGGAGCGTCATCAGTGGCGCACGAGATGCGGTGATAATAATGTAAGTGACGTTGTTGCATTTTAATGTTTTGTTAGTCTAGCCCCCGAGACGCGCCGCTGCTGCGTTATTCATTCAAAATATTAGAGAAATACAGTAGCTCAATGCGGAGAAGATCTTGAATGGGTTAAAACCCAAACTAAGCCATTCACACAGAACGCATATTCAGCGCATTTTTAGACGGACAAATATGACTGCTGCACTCGCGTCACACAAGAGATGTATAGAAAGCCATGCAAAGTTAAAACAGTTTAAACTTTTAGAAAACACGTCGCGAATTTGTAGAGGTTTATTACTTTTCACTGCGTCTCTTATGTTTTTAAATGCAGTCTGCGTGATGGCGCTTCGGCTCTTTGTATTAAGCAATGCATAAATACATGATACTCTGTTAAAAAAAAAATATATATATATATATATTTGTTGTTTGTCTCAATAAATTGAGTTAATTTAAAAATACAGTGGTCAAATAAAAAAAAAAATTTCTATTGCTCTTTGTTTTAAAAAAGGTTATAAAAAATGTCAATAATTATCGATACTGAACAATATGAAACATT